CAGCAGGACAACTAACTGATACAGCGTAACAGTATGAAAACCTGAAAGCAAAAAATAATCCCTCCTTTAGAGCAAAAGTTTTCTGCCTGCTAAATACCAAAGGCCTCTTCTGATCTCTGGAGACACGGGGCATTTCTTCCCAAAGGAGGTATCAGGAATAATTTCTAGACGACGATGACTGCTCCAGGTAGAGAAAAGCCTCCCAGGAATAAACAGGCCAACACTAACATAGACAATGAAAGCAAAAATGAGGCTTTGCCTCATAGACTTCTCTCTCCAGCTGAGTGGTACCAAAGCTGAGACCAGACCATGAGGTCTAACACGAGTAAATCTCAGTGCTACTGCTTTGGTTTGAAAATGTCCTGAGGGCTTTAATAACTGACTGTATATTGGGTCAGTTACACAAGTTTCACCTATTAATACAACGCACACTACTTTTTACTGCCTTCCACTTCAGGATATAGTCAGAGTAATTGGACAGGCTTGTGGTTAGGGACCTGAGCTAGCTCTGAAGTAACAGGCTCTGCTCTGCATACTTCCTTGTGCCAAGCCACTTAGTTTCTCTGAATTTCAGCCCCTGATTGCACAATGACATTTGGCAATTGTCTCTTTTTAAGGGCATCCACCCATTCTACACCTTGCGTGGTTACACTGATTTATCCAGAGCAGGGATTCTCTTCTGCTACTTGTATCACAGTCTGTGATGTGGCTAACAATCTTGGATAAGGCTACTCAATGGCAGCGGGATATCAGCACTGACAAATAACCACCTCAGAATACGTGTGCTGAAGAAACATCCTGCCCCAGGAAACTGCACAGCCTGAGCTCAGGGAAGGCATCCGACACCACGCACCACAGTGAAACCCTTCCTTACTTCAAAGCTGCACCACTTGAGCCTTAACTTTCCTGAAAGCGTTTGTCATTAGAGCACTCTGTCAAGACCCATCATGACGTATGGGACAAAAAGGTAGTGTCCTGCAAATATCGCTTAAATAGAAACTATCCTGCCCATGGGAGATGGGCACAGGCTGGGAAGAAGGTGTCTGCATGCCCACGGAGAAGTCCATGAGGTCTGCTGCTGCCGGTGCTCACCCCTGAATTCAGACGCTGGATCCACCGCAGGCTTGTGCGCCTGAAGAACCTGTCTGATGGACACAGCAAGCCTCTCTCTGGGTTTCCATCACCTCCACCACTGAAATAAAGCACTGCTCCTGTTTAGTGAAGGCTGGTGAGGGAAACCGTAGGCTTATACATTTATGTTTTATTTGTCTGCAGGACACAGAATGGAAAGCAAGAAGTAGTAACAGAGGTATTGCAGGAATGACTGACCTACATACAGTAAAAGTAAAAGACAAGCTTGCACCACCAAAAAGCCTCTTCTTCTTTAACATCCCCTGTTTAAACAGCTAGACTGTATTTTGCTATTATGCAGGATGCCCTATTTCAGCTGCTGTTGGGACTGAAATGAATGACATAAAGAATTCATAGGAATGGTTTGGACTCTAGCCCATTAGTTATACGAACCTGGTCTGTGGGTGTGTAGTCATCCATGCTGACGCTGTCAATTCTTTCCAAAAAGCTAAAAGAAAAATAAAAATGCACTTAGATATGTAAAGAATTGTCTCGTGTAACACTTGTCACCGCTTTTTCTGGCTTAGAATCCCGCTGCAAAGTAAAACACAAGTCCAGGGGTAAAGGTACGGGCCCGATGGTTTACTCGCATTGATTGAGGTTACGTTTTATGAACCAAACAACTTTTCACCCAGACTTTGTTTCAAAACAGCGCTTCTACGCTTACCGTTATGCAGCACGCACAAGCCGTCCCAATGCAGTTAAACATTACAATTTTGTGAGGTCCACTCAAAAATGCTAAAACTAACCACGTGCCATAACATTATATGGATGTTTAGACAGGAAAAAAAGATTCTGGGGTTTAGAAAAGAAAATGGGGTGAAGGGTTGCCTTTATTTAGCATTATGCTAATCTAGCATAATGCTCTGTTAATTAAGGTCTCAGTAACGTTAGCAAAAATACTAGTTAGTATATACAAATAGCTTTGGACTGACATGCTGCCCTCGAACGCTGCAACTAAAGCATAAGAAGGGGAAAGAAAAGCTGGTGTGAAGCGGAGGTTAACCAGTCTGACTCATCATGTTGCCAAAGCTCAGTGAGATGCATGAGGTGAAGCAAAAACTTAGGACTGCAGGGAAGGGTGAGAGAAAAGGGTACCAGAAAAAAAGGGGGGAACCACATTCTCTGGCTATTTAAAAAATCTTTTCAAGCTTTAATTATTTCTTAGAACACGTCAGAATGTCAGTATTAAGGATATAAAAATGTGATTTCATATGTATAGTTAAAACAGGCAGGTTGTCCTGTCTCACTGTCACCCATTCCTTAGACTTCATGTGAGCCCAGAGGGATCATTTCCCCGGACTGCCCATATGACTTAGAAGCTTTCTTGAATTTCGGCACTGTTATGTGGTATTTGGTGGTGAATACCCCACCGGCTGACTCATCCTGATACAATATTATCAAGATTTCTTAATCAACTGGCAAGTTTTCCCCAATTTTACTTGGGTGTGCACGTGGATTCTACTTAATTGCAGTGGGAAAGACAAAAAGCCAGTGAACTCTTGACTTACAATGTGACTCACTGTTAACACAGGGGTCACACACACTGACCAGTTGAAAAAAATACCCCCCTAAAAGCCTGTTTGTAATTCTCATAGCACTTTCCCACGGATACGAACGGAAAGGAAAAGAAAATACGCTGCGTACATATTTACTTATACTATTGTTCCTTTTTGAACCTCCATTGTTGTAACGGGGAAACAAAATGCAGTATCTACAGTTCGAATACCCAGCTTTACTTTCTGAATGATCAAGGTGTGATGGCTAAGCACATTGTTTAAAAATCACTCTTTAGTGCCACAAAATGGGTGCCTGGTAAAAAAACCGAACAAACTCTAAAGAAAAATCACCTTTTTACAAAACATCCTCTCCTGCCAGAAGCCACCAAAAACTTATATATATAAAGATATAAAAGAACATCTCTGTAGTCTGCTACAGTGACCATGAGAAAGCAGCTGTATTCAGACTGAACCTTTCGGTCAGCTGATTTTCATGACCTTGAGCAGATCGATTAAGCAAAGTTTAACTTCAGTTATCCCCACAGTTAACGCAGACAGCGGAGCAGAGCAATGTATTTTTAACTGCCGCACCTATCATTAACCCAACTCTGATATCACGCTTGCAGCACACGAGATGAAAAAAGGACAAAAAAGCCCAACCCAAAAATGCCTCCGAGCTGAATATCTTCCTAAATAGAGAGTAGTTTTCCTTAACACGGCTGTTCAGGTGGCACTTCTTTATTTCCAAGTCCAAGTTCTCTTTCCTGTTTCTTAACAGTTGGATCCAACGGGCCCAGAAACTGCCACTTTCCATCAAGGTAAAAGTTAGCATAGGGGTAAACCCAGGTGTGTGAGCGCAGTAAGGTGGCAATGCCAGCAGGTTAAACAAGCCTGGAGAAAATGGGCAGGAGCCCAGGGGAAAGCCAGCAAACGGCTGTGGGCAGCACAACCATTTGCACAGCTCAGGGTCGATAAAGGCAACACAAGTCAGGGGAGAAAATGCTCCTCAACCACGGCCGACGCAGAAAGGGGTCTGGTTACAAGAGTGGCCAGAAGTGAGTATTTGTGCACAAATACAACTCCATCACAGACCTCACGAAGCAGTGTGAATTGGTATTTTTCTTGTGGAAGTATTCCTGCTAGAGCTGACGTCTAAATCAGAGGTGATCACCTTGTCCCCCCAGCAACAAGGTCATGTTGGCAGAATTTATCCAAAGTGATTAAACATGGTATTTAGTACCAATTCACATCTCTCTCACTAAGCACTTGAGGAAGGTTACTGGCTGTTAGCATTTGCATTTTCCAAACACGCAACTTATGGTAAGGAACAGAGTAATGCAGATTTACACTACAAAAAATCCATGGCAGGGTTGGGAATGAGATAAATCTTTTAATTAAATGTCCTACCAGACAGTTCCAGTCATCTTCCATTTAGAAATCCCAGAATACAATCAGAATGGTTTGGGTTGGAAGGGACCCTAAAGACCACCTAGTTCCAACCCCCCTGCCATGGGCAGGGACACCTTCCACTAGACCAGGTTGCTCAAAGCCTCCCCCAGCCTGGCCTTGAACACGTCCAGGGATGGAGCATCCACAGCTTCTCTGGGCAACCTGTTCCAGTGTTTCAACCACCCTTGTCATAAAGAATTTCTTCTTTATATCTAGTCTAAATCTCCCCCCTTTTATTTTAAAACCATTACCTCTTGTCCTGTCATAACAGGCCCTCGTAAAAAATCCCCCCCAGCTTCCTTGTAGCCCCTTCAGGTACTGGAAGGTGCTATAAGGTCTCCCCGGAGCCTTCTCTTCTCCAGGCTGAACAGGCCTAACTTTCTCAGCCTGTCTTCAGAGCATAGGTGTTCTATTGCCAGCCTCCTCCCTGTAAGAGGATCTGTTTCAAATACCCTAATCTGCAACACTGCAGTTAAGAGAGTGAGCTGTGGCAAATACCATACGTGTAAAAAATATCACTTGACATAGCAGCCGTAACATTTTATGCTTGTAAGGCTACTGGCCACATGCAATCCATATTAAAATAAATGCAATGATTTACAGGGTTTTACCTGCCACACCGCTGTATCAAGCCGCAATGATATCACTAGCATCCAATAAATCAACATGCAACTACTATTAGGATTTGGCTAAGTTTTGTAGCTTTATAGAAAATTAACCTTTTCAGTGTGTGATGGACAGGGTTCCTAAGATTTCTTTCGCAGCTACATTAAACATGCACTGAGATTTCTAGACACTGAAACACAAAAAGCTATACCCTTTTATGAAAGAAAATCAGTTCTTGAATATCCTTCATCAAAGCTCCTTACCTGGCTAATTAGCACAGTATCAAAAAATAGCTCTGACAGGCAAATGTGCATAGTAGGTACAAGTAATGGATTCCAGATGAGAGGAGGAGTCAGTACTGCCTCATTACTAAATACATTAACTTTATTCTCATTACTGTATTAAAATGGGAAAACTGGAATCACCTTTCTAAATTGCTTTCTAAAGAACGTTCATTTCTACTAATCCTAAATGCCTCTAATAATTATGTTCTGGCATAACATACATTCTTTTATATATCTACATATATATGCATACCGGCAAATTTTAAATTACTAAGATACCTCACAATTACGGCCAATGCTCCACTCACAAAATCAGTGTGAGGAAAACACAATAGCAGAAAAAGGAGTAAAAATGGACACCAATATCACTTATACCCTCCTTTTAGATCCTGTTTTTTTCAGCTCAGGAATAGAATTATTTTTGCAGAATTATGCCTTTTTACAATACTGACAGGTCTTCTACTTATACAGCTTCTATAGAAACCCATATTTGGGATCTATGTTAATTCCGCAGTGCCTGCTTTGCATGCCTGTGCAATGAACTTCAAACTCATGCCTTCAACTCAACTGTGACTAAAACTGTAACATATGATATAATATTTATATTTCTACTTCATAATTGTGGTTTTATTTATAAAGGATTCAGTCTGATAGTTTGTATGACCTTTAGGTTCTCCTTAATGTTAGGGTAGGGTGTTCCATTTTCTTACATGGAACAGCACAAACTACCTTTTTTTTTTCCCCCTAAATACATCAGGCAAGATACTGGAAGGAAGGTCTTAACTGCTGTTTGGAAATGCAGTGGTTTGGTTTGCCAACAAATTAAAGCGAAGAAAAATGGACTGATAAAGTTAAAAAAAAACCCAATCACGAGCCACTGACATTATTATATCTATTATTAAGCTGATCTGTAGTTTTATAAATATCTTCAGTGAGTTTCCTAGGAAACTCAGCTGACACTTAGTTTGACAAGCAATCTCTAAATTTTATATTATGCAGGCTGTGAACACAAAAGTACAGGTTTTAGAAGTGCCTGCCAGTGCATGTGGGAACTATCAATAAGCATTATTCTCTTTAAAAACCATGGCAATTTGAGCAGCAGTGGCAGCTATATAAGAATTTCTGAAAAAAGGATTCATAAATGCACAAATAAAGAGGAGGTAATCGCACATGAAAATCTTTTTCTCACTGGGTAAATCACTACACAGCTCTTACAGATATTCTGACCCCACAAACAAAATCACAATTAAAAGAAAAATCACGTCTTGAGAATAATACAATAGACACAAAACCCATGCTATATTTGTAAGTGTATTTTGACATCCAAAGAATTGGAAAGATGAAGTGCTAAACCGCAGACCAATACAATGAACTACACATTTTAATAAATCTTCATCTACTTCAACCGTTTTTTTATGCTCTCACCCCAACATTTCAAAGGCCTTGTATGCAACAGTTCCTGCGGAAAACAAGAAATCAAACCCACAACAAAATGCTTGTCTCTTTAAAAGAAAAATGGAACGTGGCAAATCTTGGAAGCTGTAGCTTTAAGTCCCCAGAGTGAAGAACCTTAGATTTATCCTCAAGCAAGTTGTTGGGGTCAGCAAACC